TGGTACTTAGGACAGAAACAAAAAAAGAACCCATTAAATAAAACACAAACCTCAGCTTGGTGCGGAAGTTCATCATTTTTATCTTCAAGTAATGCTTCCAGCCACAGTATCCAGTTCGTGTTACTTTTTCCAGTAAACATGGATGGGACTGTATCAGACTCTTTGCCACTTCCTCTAAATGCCCATCGCCTGGGTAAGCTGTGTACTTTATTATTTCCTCAGCTAAGCCTTCAAGGATATCCGAGCGTACTTTTGGTGTAGGACACAGGACAGTTCCGTGTGCCTTGAACTCATCATTTCCTTTCTGGAGCATAATCTCAGCACAGGATGAGAAGCGGGGCACGACAAAGGGTTTAGGCCAGGAGCAGGATCGGGTCTCAGGCGATGACAAGATGATGGTATCATTGCTGGAGTAGGAGTCTGAATCACTTGGTTCTTGTGATGAAGAGCTGGAAGGAGTACCTGACATTGTGCCGCCGGAATCTTCTGTGAGTGTAGCAGACCTAATTGTCTCACATGGTATGTACACCACTTTCAAAGTCCCTTTATCTTCAAGTTCTGATGTTGACAAGAGATTCATGAACTGATTATCCATGTCTTTGTCTTTGTACTGAAGTCTGAACTGCTCAGTCACTTCAAAGAAAGTCTTGATTTTAAGAGCCAAGTCCTCCACAGTTCTTGGTATTCCGGATTCAATGGTGAGTTTTCTTGCATCCTCTTCACCTCCAAAGAGGACTCTGAAGGTTACTCGTGCATCCATCCTGCTTTGCTAATCTAAGGTGGATCCAGAAATATAGAGTAGACAGGTATTAGTCTTGTTATTTAAATATCAAATCACTCAGACAGAGTACATGATCAGGACACAGTCATTGCCTAGATCTGATGGGAGGAAGTTAGTAGAAAGAAGACTAGGAAATTTAGGTGGTCAGTAGAGGCGGAGACTGGGAGAGTGAGAAGGTCAGTAGAGAGCAGACATAAGTACAGAGAGGTACGTTTATGTGGTGGACTAAAACTAAATTTGTTACTGAATAATTTTATATGGCACTGTAAATTATCAAAATCAAACCTGTAATGACGATGTGGCTCTTCAGGGTCACCATACGTCTGGATCCGACTGTGTAGGCCACAAGTGGACAGTAATCTGTCAGCTCCTCAACTTGAACAAGGGCAACCTCTCTTCC